TGCATTCCAAATCTACGGCTGGCTGGGGTGGGGACACGGAAGGAGCCATCTGACTTCCCCGTATCAAGTAAAGACCCTCTTAAAGACTGGCTAAGTATCTGTCAGTGTTCTCAATGTGATGTGACTGTTTTTCCCTTCTAGAGCCAGTGAACTGAGGGACAGGTTGAGCTTGGGGCTAACCAAAGCCCTAGAACTTGAACTTCAGGCTCCTAGATCTGTCTGCCTAAGAACATCTGTGAACCTCCATGTGGGATGCTATTTGAGCCCCATTGAAAAGCCTCCCTCTGTGGGCATTTGTGACTGATCCAGATGAATGTTCCGAGTATATTAGACACTACATTTCTATCTGCTTTTCCGAGGCATTTTTCTCCTCCTACCATCTGTTTTCTAAACGTCCATGACTCACCTAAGTGAGCCCTGCTCCACGGTCTCCTGTCCGTCCTGTCCAAACATTTTTTTTAAATTTTAGATCCTGGTAGAAAAGATTTACTGCAATCTGCCAAAACACTTAAAAATACAAGCCTAACTTGCTTTGTGCAATAACTGTCATTGAAAGAGTACTAACTGAAAATTAAAAACTGAAGGTTAATTGTACTAGTAGAATCGGTTGCTTGGAGTCTCTCTTTTACAAGGAATTTCCTCCTTATTTATCTGTTTTAGGTGATTGAATATTTACTATGTAAAGATGGTACACTTGTAGAAATCCCAATGGCTTCTTTTGTTTTTAAATTCTCTGAACCTCAGTTGTACTCCATACCATTCATTCCTTTAGACATTCAAGCCATATCTATTAAGTACCTAAGATGTGCTAAACCCAGTGCAGATATGGGTGGCACAATGACGAGCAAAACAGAATATCTGCTCTCCTAAAATTTTTGGTCTGTGAGAGCTACAGATAAAAACAAGTAAGATACTGGGCTTCCCTGGTGGCTCAGTGGTTGGGAGTCCGCCTGCCGATGCAGGGGGACGCCGGTTCCTGCCCCGGTCCGGGAGGATCCCACATGCCGCGGAGCGGCTGGGCCCGTGAGCCATGGCCGCTGAGCCTGCGCGTCCGGAGCCTGTGCTCCGCAGCGGGGGAGGCCACGGCAGTGAGAGGCCCCCGTACCGCAAAAAAAAAAAAAAAAACAAGTAAGATACTAAAATTGCCAGATTAAATCCAGGATGTTGAATGAAGTTTGAATTTCAGATAAACAATGGCTAATTTTTTTAGTATAAGTATGTCGCAGGCATCAAAAAGTTGCACAGGAAAAATCTATACTGAAAAACTATTTGTTGGTTATCTACAACTCAAATTTCTCTGGGCATCTTGCATTTCTAACTAGCTAAATCTAACAACCCTAAGGCCTAGAGATAATAAATAATTACACACTAGGAAAGAAAAGTGCTAGGGGCTATGAGAGCATATAATAGGGGTTATCCTAGTTTGGGAGTAAGGACAGGGAGAAATTGGGAGCATCTATTATGTGTCATGCACTGTGCATAATGTTATACAGATTGTTTGCTAAATCCAAGGGTATAAACAGAAAATTAAGTGGAATCATAAATCTGCTGTAGGAATGTCTATTTGGATTCACATTAGATAAATGTAATATAAAATAATATTAGAGATTATCCAAACAAGTTATTTCACTAATTTTATTTCTTTATTTCTCCTCTTGTTTTACCTATATCCCATTGTTCTCATTTCTAGAATGAGTCCCGTTATTATTATTGCCTGAATTGCCTTGTTGTATGTAGTAAAGCTCTTGAATCAACACGTTTCAACCATCTCCCTGATCCAGAACTATAAAGCAGTAATTAAAAACCTCTAATGCATGGCAACATCTATAAAACAAATGTGATTTATTTCTTATCTGAAGATTATTTTCGCCAGTAATGTAACTACAGAGTTCAACATTAATCTCTAAGACATTTGCACTCTTTGAGACTTACAGAAAATTTTCTACATTTGTTCTGAGTTCCTAAAGAAGTCTTCAATAGATTAGAATAAATTCACCATGTATGTATAACATAGACACTATCTCATATGCCTTAGGAATTTACAAAAAATATTAGAGCATAATTTGTGTTTTCAATATCCATATTCTTCAGTCACTAAGAAAACAGTTGGATTTCTTTGCAAAGAAAGACAAGATTTACACAGAGATACAAAAATAACGTCCTTGAAGAAGATTTTTAGAAAGATTTCTGAATCAAACTCTGACTCAAAAAAGATGATGTTGACAATGTAATTATCTTTTCTTTAACAACCATTTAAAGTTCTTCTCCCTTTACTAATAGTTATTGCTTGAATGTTGAACTTCCAAACTTAAGATCAAGTAGGCTTATTTTAACAATCACTTGTTAATTAATTATGAAATCCAGGCAAATCTTTCATGACTCACCTAAGTGAATTCCACTTGGTGGTTTAATTAAGGCAAAACCCTTAATTAATGTATGTAAAAAATGTAACTACATATGTTTATGTAGAGAGATAAACAAGGGGTTCCTTTTGCCAAAAGAGTCCTTCACTAACAATTAGATGCCGGTAAACTTTTTTTTTTTTTAACATCTTTACTGGAGTATAATTGCTTTACAATGGTGTGTTAGTTTCTGCTTTATAACAAAGTGAATCAGCTATATGTATACACATATCCCCATATCTCCTCCCTCTTGCGTCTTCCTCCCACCCTCCCTATCCCACCCCTGTAGGTGGTCACAAAGCACTGAGCTGATCTCCCTGTGCTGTGTGGCTGCTTCCCACTAGCTATCTATTTTACATTTGGTGGTGTATATATGTCCATGCCACTCTCTCACTTCATCCTGGCTTACCCTTCTCCCTCCCCGTGTCCTCAAGTCCATTCTCTATGTCTGCGTCTTTATTCCTGTCCTGCCCCTAGGTTCTTCATAACCATTATTTTTTTTTTAGATTCCATATATATGTGTTAGCATATGGTATTTGTTTTTCTCTATCTGACTTACTTCACTCTGTATGACAGACTCTAGGTCCATCCACCTCACTACAAATAACTCAATTTTGTTTCTTGTTATGGCTGAGTAATATTCCATTGTGTATATGTGCCATATCTTCTTTATCCATTCATCTGTTGATGGACACTTAGGTTGCTTCCATGTCTTGGCTATTGTAAATAGAGCTGCAATGAACATTGTGGTACATGACTCTTTTTGAATTAGGGTTTTCTCAGGGTATATGCCCAGTAGTGGGATTGCTTGGTCGTATGGTAGTTCTATTTTTAGTTTTTTAAGGAACCTCCATACTGTTCTCCATAGTTAGATGCCAGTAAACTCTTTATTGACACATAAGAAGAAACATCTGTTCACTGAGATGTTCCCAGGAAACTCATCTTTAGGGAGACCAGTGGGAGAGCAGAGCATGGATTTCTACTTAACCAGTAAACTTTATATTTGCCAAATCACACTGTTTTTAGTCTCTTTGTGACTAGTATATAATGTGATAAAATAATAACACTTTTTCCCACCCTCTCTAGATAGATGGTAGCAGCTGTTAATCAAAATGATTTGCAAACCACAAGTCCCAGATTTAGTAAATGCTCAGTGAGTCTGCCATCTACAAACCTTTTTCATTTCTAATAATTGCAAGCTGGTGAGACTGGAAGCATCTCCTCCCACCACTCACTTAACCTTGTTATACTAAGCTCCTTGTCTGGGTCATACCAAGCTTATAAACATCTCATATTGGAACCATTCCTGAAATAGCACAGTCACAGATTATGCTTCTGAAAACTGTGTTCTTCTGTTTCAGTCCTTATTATAAGAAGTCTGGTTTTCTTCTCAGAGACCAGGGAAAAACCTATGATATATCTCTAACTCCAAGAGCTCGGGTGTTCCCACATTCTGACAGTCTACAAAACCACATGACCACTTTCTACTAACACACATTCCAAATGACCAAGGCTAGAGACAACAACTCAGTGCTTTACCCTCTGAAAACAATTCTGGGATTTGTTTCCAAAAAAACGTTTTTGGGGAAGCTAGCTTTATCGCTTTCAGCTACTCATCTTTTCTCCCAATGTTTTCAGTGTTTTGGGTTTTTTTCCTACAGTTGTTTCAAATTTTCAGTGAGCTCTGTTGAACCTCCGTGTATCAAGTTTGGAGGTTTGTCTCATTCACAACAAACATATTGAACTGGAGACAACATAGTAGCTACATCTGGGGTTGCTTTTCCCTGTTTAGGGGAGGATTTTCTTGACTTTTGATGACTAAGAGCCACCATCAGCCAAAGTTTCATTATTTGCTCCGGGAAAACTCACCACCTTATTTTCACTTCCCTTCACCAGCATCCAAGAACCGTCTTCTGAGAAGTGGAAATGGAGAGAGAGGCCCGCGGGATCAGATGATGTGGGTGGAGCTAACGTCTGCCAGGTGGTATGGAGCGAGGTGAGGCACAAAGGCTGGAGAAGAGGGAAGCCGCTCACCAGCTACACCTGTCTCTCGGGTTCGGCGAGGCTCACGGGCGTATGGGCGTGAGGAAAGGCACGGGGAGGCTGGGGACTAACTACAGCTTGCAGAGGATCGGCGCCGTATTGGTGTGCTCGCCACCCCGTAATCACAACGTTATCACAAAATGAAGATCATCTAGAATATACTCTCTAATCAGGATGAAAAGTCTTTTTTTTTTTCGGTACGCGGGCCTCTCACTGCTGTGGCCTCTCCCGTTGCGGAGCACAGGCTCCGGACGCGCAGGCTCAGCGGCCATGGCTCACGGGCCCAGCCGCTCCGTGGCATGTGGGATCCTCCCGGACCGGAGCATGAACCTGCGTCCCCCTGCATCGGCAGGCGGACTCTCAACCACTGCGCCACCAGGGAAGCCCGAAAAGTCACTTTTTAAATTAAATTTCATATGTTTCTATTGGGCCAAATGCCGTATGGTTTCTCAAAGATTAATGCTATTAATCATCGCGTCTTTTATGGGACCCTATCTGGTTTGGAAGACACAGCATATAAATTATGCAAACTGCAGTAAATGAGCAAAGAAGTAGATGAGTGGTACATTAAGCTCCAAGGGACGTCAGGATAGGGTAAGTTCAATGTGGGTTGAGAAGCCATTATAAAGTATTGTAGGTGGGACATAAGCTGGGCTTTAAATAATACATTATTTTGCATAACAGGGGCTTGGACACACCTGTGAGGTGGGGCGAGACTGAGTAAAGCCTAGTGGTGAGATTAAGCTTGTTGTTTTGGCAGCACTGGGTAAACAGCCTGATGGAACCGTGAAATAGGTGGGAGGGGGTGGAATAGTGCAAGAAATGTAAGTTTAAGTAGGGAGGACACAGGCAGATTCAGAAATAAACGAAACCTCATATAACGCCATTTCCCATCCAAGGAAATGATATTCAGCTGTGACAAGCATCTTAAAAACAGAACAAAACAAACTCACCACAAAACAAACAAACAGAAAAGCAAACCAGAATCAGGGTTCCAAATGTACAACCCGAAGCATCATAACTGGAACATTTTGTTCTCAAACTGGTAGGTTTACTTACTACCTGTGGTGCTTCCCCAGCCCGACCTCTGCAGTCCCTAATCACACGCTTCACAGACCTTGGCATCGGTGATTTCCTACTTCTCCCCTCTTTTCTCTCTTCCCCCACTCTGCATAGGCTGCTCTGAAAATCTGTTTTTGGAATATCAAGATTTTTATATATGCTCCTATGCTTGTGGGTCGTCATCATTTCTGTCACCAGGCAAGAGGGAGAGGAAGTGTAGTTCTTAAGAACTGGGGCTCTAGTTTCAAATAACCTGGGCCAAATCCTAGCCCTTCTGCCCACTAGGGAAAACATTGAATACCCAGAGTGGTCTCTGATAGTACATTATAAAGAAAAATTCTATATTTTTTTGAATTTTATTTTATTTATTTTTTATACAGCAGGTTCTTATTAGTTATCTGTTTTACACATATTCATGTATATATGTCAATCCCAATCTCCCAATTCATCCCACCACGCCCCCTCCACTGTCCTCCCTTGGTGTCCATACATTGTGACAAAGTATTGATATTTAATTCTCTGTGCCTCAGTTTCTTCGTCTGCAAAATTGCATCAATATTATGAATGACCTCCTGAGTTTACTGCAAGGATTAAATGAGATAACATATGTATGATACACTTTCTGAAACTCAGTGTATTTATTCGGATATTAAATGTCCTCTTAAAGCACAAGATAGTGCCAGAAATAACTAATTAACCCACTCCTCTCATTAGACTTGCCCTGTTTAATTTCCCATGAAATGAACTCTCTTATAACGTCCACGCTTGTGATCTTCTTATCAATCCACAGATACCAAAACTAGCAACACCCAGAGAGATTTTCCTCCTAGTCATAAAGGAAGCCAGTGGCAGAGCCAGAAATAATATTCAAATTCTGAATCCACTAGACTGTATCACCTGTCTGGCAAACTCTACTCTTTCTTCCTCCTCCAAATGAATGTTTCATACCTGATGTTTCTCAGAGCAGTGAAACGAGTAACCTGAATTTATTCAGGAATAATCTGAATAAATTCCAATGGCTCTGCAATGAACTGAATAAACATGTTATTTCATCACTTATTATTTATCACTTATTTATTTCATCACTTTTTATTGTTTGCCTTGGGCTGATTCTAACAGAATACAGTCGCCTCTGGGTATCCATGGGGGATTGGTTCCAGGACCCGCTTGGATACCCAAATCTGTGGATGCTCAAGTTCCTTATGTAAAGTGACATAGTATTTGCATATAACTAAACAGCTTCTCCAGCCCCGAAAACATGCTTTGTTAACAGGGGAGGGAGTACAAAGGGATAAAATGCAGACTTTACCCCAAAAGAGCCAAGATGGGGCTTTGGCTTTTGGATATACTGCACGTAGGATGGATAACATGTTTCCTTGCCAAGTCATTTCCCTTTAAGGTAGGTTGACCAGACAGGGCCCCTGGTATTGCCAGACCTGAAAACAACTCTCTGTCTTGCTATAATTAGAGAACCTTTAAGAAATGCCATCCCCAACTCTTCAAAATTACATTTCAAGGAAATTAAATCTTGTTGTGTAAATAGGTAAAAAAAAAAAAAACTATTCAAATAACATACATCCCCTTCTCTCTAATGCAGTCTTTTTAAAAATTTAACGAATTTTCTTTTTTTTTTTTGGCGTGCTGCTCAGCACATGGGATCTTAGTTCCCTGACCAAGGATTAAACCCATGCCCCCTGCAGTGAAAGCATGGAGTCTTAACCACTGGACCTCCAGGGAAGTCCCTCTAATGCAATCTTTAGTGTTGTTAGACATTAGCCAGTAGCTGGATCTCTGGAATTAATCTCTGGTTGATCTAAGGGACTCATTTTATCTAACCAAAAGTGGATTGGAGGGGAAGAGAAGCACTATTGGAAGAAGAGAAGGAAGGAAAGAGAATTTCAGGAAAGATTTACGCTCCTGAAATAAAGCAAGACCTACTCGTCCTCATTCAGTTTCCCAGCAGACTGACCTCTATGGACAGCATCAGTCTGGCTCCCCTGCCCTCTGATTTCCTGTTGAACTTGGCCAGATAGCGGAATCCTCCTTCATGAGAGGCATGGCTAAACATACATACATTTTAATTTTCAAAACCTGTTCTATAGGGCTTCCCTGGTGGTGCAGTGGTTGAGAGTCCGCCTGCCGATGCAGGGGACACGGGTTCGTGCTCCGGTCCGGGAAGATCCCACACGCTGCGGAGCGGCTGGGCCCGTGAGCCATGGCCGCTGAGCCTGCGCGTCCGGAGCCTCTGCTCCGCAACGGGAGAGGCCACGGCAGTGAGAGGCCCGCGTACCGCAAAAAAAAAAAAAAAACCTGCTCTATGTAAAATTCACTATTTCCTTTTTTTCTAATGACTATTTCTTATAGTAGCTCCCTTAGATTCTAGGTATCATTGTCTTTAAACTGCTTTCTGTTAATTAAACCTTAATAAGCAAAGGCAGTGTCTTCAGGTAGCCAATTTTCATCAAGATACTATCCCAGAAAGAAAGGGACTGGGAATTTTAGGGATTTATGGGTTCCATTCCGAAAAGGAGGAGCCCAGAAGAGAACACTTTGGAAGAAACTCGGCAATATCTTTTTGGAGGAGGTTAAAATAGAGTGAGGCCCTGAAGATATTACAAGGTGTGTATTAGCTGAATGACAATCATCTGTTGCCCTCCCAGATTCACGCTCCTGAAATAAAGCAAGACCTACTCGTCCTCATTCAGTTTCCCAGCAGACTGACCTCTATGGACAGCGTCAGTCTGGCTCCCCTGCCCTCTGATTTCCCGTTGAACTTGGCCAGTACAAGGCACCAGCAGAAAATAGATGGGCATGAGCAGAAAGAGCTTGGGACATTTTTCTCCTGGATCCCACCCTGCCAGGTCTGTCTGACAGTGGTCCATGCTTTTCCACAGCTCCTGTCAGGCAGCCCTCTCCTAAAGTGACAGCCCTCACTTGGTTCTGAACATCTTCCCTCCCTTGGCCCTTGCTGGGATGCTGATGGCTCCCTAGAGCCACGACCCAGCACCACGTGGCACTCCCCACTCCTTATTATTTCCCTTAACCTTGCCCACACCATCATGATCAAAATTCTTTTCAGCCTCCCCTTTAAAAAACTGTGCCATCTGTTTCCTAAGAGACCCTGACTGATATACACTCAGAGATTCTTTTTGTTGTCATGTTAATTTCCATAGCCCAATATGGCTGTCATCCACATTACACAAAGGGCGTAATACCTCCCTTAAAATATTTTGTTTTTATTTTTAAACTCTGGTAGCCTTTCCCCCTGGTTAAGTACATGCAGCTAATTCAAAGAAAGAGATTTGACTTAAAAAACAAAACAAAACACTCCACAAACTTTCTTTTGAAAATTTGGATAGCTGTTGCTACACTGGTTTCCATAGCAATTGTATCAGTTTATCACGTCACCAACAATCTGTGAGCCTGTTTGGTTCCCCACACCCTCATCAAAGCAATGTGTTGATCTTTGCCAACCTGATAAGTGAAACATGGCATCTCCTCATTTCAATTTGCATTTCTCTCCTTATGAATATGGTTTCATGTGTTTAAAGCTATTTGTGTTTCCATTTCTAGGTTCTATTTGTTCGTATTCTTTGGTCATTTTTCAATACGGGCTTGATTTTACCAATTTACAAAAGCTCTTTACATATGAAGAAATTTAGTTCTTTGTATTTTATGTGTTAGGAATGCATTTGTACAATTTGTCATTTTTACTTTTATGGTATTTTTGCCACGCATATTTTAAAAAAATAAACTCAGATTTCTATCTTTTCTGTGTGGCTTCTGAGTTTTCTTTTTGTTTTTTTTTTTTTTGCGGTACGCGGGCCTCTCACTGCTGTGGCCTCTCCCGTTGCGGAGCACAGGCTCCGGACGCGCAGGCTCAGCGGCCATGGCTCACGGGCCCAGCCGCTCCACGGCATGCGGGATCCTCCCCGACCGGGGCACGAACCCGTGTTCCCTGCATCGGCAGGCGGACTCCCAACCACTGCGCCACCAGGGAAGCCCCCTTCTGAGTTTTTGTTAGACTTAGAAAGTCCTTCCTGACTCCAAAATCATAAATCATTCTCCCATGTTCTTTTCTAGTACTTTCATGAGTCAATACATTTAGACTTTATCTTGGTATATAGGGAGATAGGACTCCACCTTCATTATTTTTCAGATGACTACCAGGTTTTTCTAGGAGGTTATACTAGAGATATACTTGCACATATTTACAAAGATAAATGTTAAAATGTATTTATTATAGTTTGTTTGAAATGACAACATATTGAAAACAACCTTTGCATCCTTCAATAAGGACTGGTTATATAAATTAGAATTTATTCACACCTTACAATAAAATACAACTGTTTAAAAGAAAGAGGTTCTCTAAGGACTGATATGGAATCCCAAAATTATGTGCTCAAGTTATAAATCAACCCTAATGTGAAGAACAGTGTTTATTCAATTTCTGATTTTAAAATATACATACAGTACAAACCAAAGCAAAACATAGGTACACATAGTTACAGAAAAAACTAGAGAAAAATGATAATCTGGGGGGCTAAGAAACGGGTAGAGAAGAGATTTAATTATTTCTTTATATTTTTTGTACTGTATTCATGTACAAGATCATCAGTTTAAATAAATGAATAAAAAAGAGAAAAAATAATAGATTTTTAAAACTCAAGTCATTCTATTTTGGTGGCTGATTCATTACCATGTTATGTAGATTTGTAAGATAATATCATTTACATCATTGAAACCTGCCCCTTAGTTTAGCACTTTTTAATACATAGGGGTAAAAAATGTGGATCAGCAGTTCCCTCTGCTGGTCATCAGTTGAAATTCAATGACCTAGAAATCAATAAACCTATCTTATGCTTTATTTTGTGATAATTATCATGTACTCAGTATATCATGAGTGATAATACTTTATACCATAATTTTAAAAAAATCACAGTGGGAGTTTCCTAAAGTTAAAAAAAATCACATTTTTGTAGCAGTTCACAATTCTAGAGTTTTAACTGTTGTCTGAGTACAGAACGCTACCTTTGATGATGTGGGAATATTGAGAATAAAATTTTTTTTTTTTTTTTTTTTTTGCGGTACGCGGACCTCTCACTGTTGTGGCGTCTCCCGTTGCGGAGCACAGGCTCCGGACGCGCAGGCTCAGCGGCCATGGCCCACGGGCCCAGCCACTCCACTGCACGTGGGATCCTCCCGGACCGGCACACGAACCCGTGTCCCCTGCATCGGCAGGCGGACTCCCAACCACTGTGCCACCAGGGAAGCCCCCAAATAACTATTTTTTAACAATAGTTATCAACAATTTGTATAAAAGTAAGCAACATTGTGTATGTCTTGTCAGGCTGTATATTTTCATCATGTTCATCACTGTTATGATTCATTCATTCTACAGATATCAAGTACTTGGTATGTGTCAGGCACATCCTAATGCTGGGATACACTGTGAATAGGCAAACTTCCTGCTCTCATAGAGCTTACTTCCTACCAAAGGAGACAAAATTAACATAATTGACGAAAAATACATAGCATGCTAGTCTGATAAATGCTGAAGAAAGACAAATAAATATAATGTGAAGAATGAGTTTGGAGGGAAGGCTGCAATTGTAGATAGGGTAGCCAAAGGAGGGCTTACCTAGGGGTGAATTTGAATAAAGACCTAGAGCAAGTGAAGAGGCTAGCCAGGAGATACCCAAGAAAATGCATCCAGGCAGAAAAGCAAGTGCAAAGGTCCTGAGGTGCAAGTTTGCCCGGCATGTTTGAGAAACAGCAACGAGCCCTGTGTGACTGGAGTGAAAAGGATAGAGGAGAGTAATAGGAAATGAGGTCAGAGCATTAATGGGGAAAACTAATCATGTAAGATCTTTGGGTTATAGAAGAACATTGGCTTTTACTCTAAGCAAGGTAGGAAGCCGTTGAAGGATTTTAAGGAGAGCAGGTATGTGCTCTGAATAAATGAATAAACTGAAAGGAGTCAAGGGTAGAAACAGTGAGATTAGTTAGATGTTTATAACAAGAATCCAGGAGGAGAAATAATGACAAGTAGTCATAGAGAGATGGAGAGATGATGACAATAGACAGATAGATAGATGAATAGATAGACAGATAGAGAGGTAGATAGGTAGATAGATGCTGTTAGATGAGACAGGATATGCTGGCATGAGACTAACAGAAGACTCAAGAATGACTTCAAGATTTTGACCTGAGCAACTGGAGGAATGTAGCTGCGATTAATTGAGACGTCATAGAGGGAGGGATAAGTATCAGGAGCTCAGTTTCAGAAGGTTGAGGCTAAGATCCTATTAAATATTCGGGGCTTCCCTGGTGGCGCAGTGGTTGAGAGTCCTCCTGC